ACCTTGGTATGCGGATATATGCAACTTCATGGTCACGGGAAAGTTCCCACCCGAGCTCACGAGGTCACAAAGAGATAAGATCAAAAAAGAAGCGAGAAGGTACATTTGGGATGAACCGTACCTTTGGAAACATTGTGCAGATCAGGTAATAAGAAGATGTGTTGAAGAACATGAGGTACAATCTATTCTTAACTTTTGTCATAGTTATGCTTGTGGAGGGCATTTTGGTCCTCAAAGAACCGCCAGGAAAATTTTAGACTGTGGATTTTATTGGCCCCGACTTTTTCATGACTCTTACACTTTTTGTAAAAGCTGTGAGAGATGTCAAATGACAGGTTCTTTGAGTACCCGAAACCAAATGCCCTTGACCCCCATCTTGGTCTGTGAAATATTTGATATATGGGGTATTGACTTTATGGGTCCTTTTCCTTCATCCTTTGGAAATTTATACATCCTTTTGGCTGTCGACTATGTTTCCAAATGGGTAGAAGCAAAGGCAACAAGAACTGATGATGCAAAAGTTGTTGTAGATTTTGTCAAGGCTAACATTTTATGTAGGTTTGGAACTCCAAAAGCCTTGATCAGTGACAGGGGCACACACTTCTGCAACAAAACTCTTGGATCAGTTCTCAAGAAGTATGGAGTCCAACATCGGGTGTCCACAGCTTATCACCCGCAAACAAATGGACAAGCTGAAGTGTCAAACAGAGAAATCAAGTCCATACTCGAGAAAACAGTGAACACAAACCGCAAAGATTGGAGTTTGAGATTAGAAGATGCACTTTGGGCATACCGAACTGCGTATAAAACTCCAATTGGGATGTCACCTTATAGACTTGTGTTTGGAAAAGCTTGCCACCTCCCTGTTGAACTGGAACACAAAGCTTTCTGGGCTGTCAAAAAGCTAAAACATGAAGATGGATGAAGCGGGTGTTCACGAAAGTTAGAGATCCAAGAGCTGGAGGAGATAAGAAATGAAGCATTCGAGAGTTCACGCATCTACAAAGACAAGACCAAAGCATTCCATGATAAGTACCTCTCCGTAAGAACCTTTGAAATTGGTCAAAAGGTATTACTCTATGACTCTCGACTTAAATGGTTTTCTGGTAAGTTACGGTCCCGGTGGTAGGACCGTTCATTGTTACTAATATATTTGATCATGGTGCAGTTGAGATTAAGAGTAACAAACTGGAAAAGTGTTCAAAGTTAATTGGCCATAGGTTAAAGGTTTTCTATGAAGGTTTCCAAGAGAAAGATATGGAGGTTGATAGCTTGGAACGCCCGGACTACACTGAGTGAATCTAAAGGGCAAAGTCGAGCCAAAGACTTGAAACAAGGGCGGCTAACCGAGAGGCAACTCGGGAGTATTTCTCTCTATTTTCTTTATTTTGATTTATTTCATCCGTGTTGAAATGTTTTTACGTCTTTTCGAGGGTTCCGCACAAATAACTTTTCTATTTAATGCTCAAAGAAAATATGTTTTTGTTTACAAAAAAAAAAAAAAAAAAAAAAAAAAAAAAAAAAAAAAAAAAATCGTAAATTTCATGTTAACAGAAAAAAACGCACGGGGTAAGCCAAAAACGCACGGTCCTATGCTAAAACGCATGGTCATAATTTTTTGCCCATGCTGCCACTTCGAGGTTTTTAAGAAAAAAAATTTTTTGGCACGGGCTGGCTCCAAAACGCATGGGTAAAAGGCCAAAACGCACGGCCTAGGTTCTAGACCATGCGTGTCGTCGCAGTTTGTTGCAAACAGAAAAAAAAACGCATGGGGCTCCCAAAAAACGCACGGCCTAAACACATGGCCGTGCTAATTGATCAAGTTCTTTTAAAAAACGCACAGCCTTCACTGCAAAAGGGCACGGCTCGCGATCGCATATCACAGCCTCCATAAACAAGCTTTGGCCTGCGACTCGGTGAACATAGGGCTAATCGATTCTACCTCGCGTCCGTTTCTCCTTCTTCCCTTCTTCGCACGATCGTTCATTCGTTCGTCTTCCCCCCCTTCACGTCTAACCGAGAACTCTTCAAAATCGGAATCTATTTTTCGATTTTTTCCTTCAATTAATCCAAGATTAAGCCACCAAGGTATGTTACTATCAAGTCCTAACTTCATGATCTTCATTCTATAGATCGATTTCTTCAATTAGAGGGTAAAAGATCGAATTTTCCTTCATAAATCCTATGAACCCTAGTTCTTGATTTGTATAATTTGAATTAATTCTTGTATTGGGTTTCGAAAATTCTTGTATAGAGTTCAAGACTAAGCTTGGGGAGGCGCTTTTGGAAGGAAGATTAGAAGCTTTCATCTCCAATTAGACATTCCACCATTGAAGAGTTCAAGCTTTCTTGAGGTTGAAGATGAACTGAATCATACAAGCCAACACTACAAATTCAAGCATTTGAATGGTACATTCCTTCCATATCTCAAGTTTAATGCATGAATCCTAAGATTGTTTGACTAGAATTGTTGAGAATTCGTTCATATGCTCTAAATAGTTATACATTCGTGGTTAGTAGGTTGCCCTATCCTCTCCGAGCATCGAGGACGATGCTTGATCTTAAGCTTGGGGAGGGGTTTTTGTACTAGGTTTTTTGTACTAGGTTTTAGTTTCAGCATGCATGTAAAAAAAAAAAAAAAAAAAAAAAAAAAATTCAATCTAAAGAAACCTAATCCTTTTGAATAAGTTGAAGTAGTAGATTAGTCGTGGCTTGAGATTAGAACTTGTTCGTTTTTCATTAAAACTCTTGAAGCAAACCAATTTCACACGAACACGTCTCCCGAAGCTACTCGTGCAAAATAAAAAATGATAAAGTTATCAACACCGCATCATAAAGAGAGATATAGTTTAGCCCTTGGAACACACGATCGGTCTTATGAGTTATTGCTCATTCATCTCCAAACTCCAATTTCAAAGAGTCATAAAATGAATATAAAATTTCAGTGACTCGAATTCTCCAGCGCTCTAAAAAGTCTTTTCTACCTATTCCCTTCTAAATACCCTGCTTAGGGACATTGTTTCCGACTATACTTACGGGTCTTTGCGCGTTTACATCAGTCTAAAAAAAAAATATAAAAAAAAAAAAAAAAAAAAAATATAAAAAATAAATAAATATATATAAAAATAAATAAATAAATAAATAAATATTATTAAGTTAATCTGTGACCTTTGGGATTCGAACAAGTAAACTCCGAGGGGTGTTTTACACCTAATTGCCTAAAGCAAAATTGTTTGGGACTTATTGGGTTGAAAGTTCGCTATACGGGTTCCATAGAAAGTCATGAACTTAATAATAACAAATAAAGCTAATCTGTGGCCTTTGATGTTCGGGCAAGTAAACCCGAGTGATCTCTTTAAATCTAGCACACTAAAGTCATCTGATTTGGATGTGTTGGTTGGAAGCCTGTTACACGGACTTCAAAGGAAACCATGAGCTTTATTTGCAGAAAAATATAATTAGATAGTTTGTATATATTTTATGCTTTATAGTTCAATTGAATAAATGTTTGAAAAATGTTTGGTTGTAAACATTGGGACTGACCGTAAACTACTTTGACTGGTGTAAGTGGTTTGAAACGTGTAACCAATCTGGGTAAATATTAGGGAATTCTTAGAAAATATTTTTTAGAAAAGATTGTTGTCAGTCAACAAATAGAGAGTCAGTCATTGTCATGATTTGAAAAACGAAAATGAGCATATTTTTGCATCACATGTTTTCACGAGAGTAAGACCATAATCTGTTCCATGTGCTAACCCAATACCTGTAAAAGTGAACAAGTGTTGTAACTTTTGATTTTGTTGAGTTGCGTTAGGGAATGGCTAAAAAAACCTTGTTTTACTTGTTATATATCTTTATGGGGTTAATGTCAAGTTATCTCAAGGCCGACAGCTACACCTTCGACTGTATGATATAATGAGGTTAATTGGATTGAACATGTTCGTTTGTTTTGTTCATTGCATTAATGTTTTGAAAAAAAAAAATATATCTTTTTGTACATATGTTATTTTCTTTATTTCTTCTTTTATTGCATGCACACATCTTAATTCCATTTAGTCCTTTTCGTTCCTTCCATTCTTTTCATCTTGGTTTCTTTTTAGTCACCTGTCGTCTTCTCTAGGTTGATTCTCATTTTGTTCTTTCTTGAGGACAGAAAGGTCTAAGCTTGGGGAGTTTGATAG